AACATCTCTTGTAAGAGTCCAGCAGTATTCGGCAAGCATTGATTCACCCCACCAAGCCATGTTTATCACTTGCAGATGTATAGTTATCAGGGAAGAAATCAAGATGAGAATGAAGGAAATCAACTTGTGAAGGACTATGGCATTCAAGTTCATGATATCTTTTTATGAGTTCTTTCACCAACTTTTAAGGCTTCCCACGCTGTCCTTTCTCTCCCCTCTGAGATTCCATCAAACCCATGGTTCTGTGATCTGTGATATTGGGTCCAGGTTGAAGTACATGACACTGTTTCAGTCTTGACCCAAGAAGCTCTGCCTATCACAGCTCTTAAAATGCTTACCGTGTTAGCTTAGCCAGTTTCCTCACTCAGTAAACATCGGCATTCATCTTGATTTCTTTCTTACGTACATTTATTTCACCTGCATATTTGTAAAGATTCCATTTAAATTATCATCTTCATCATAAAGTTATTGTTTTAAAATGTATTAAATATTTTGATTACACACAAGCCTTTGACTTTAGCGGATATTATGTATTTATTTGTTGCCTGATTGCATCTATTGTCATATTATTTACAAATAAACATTACTTCTACTAATAATTCTCTCTGACTTAGTATGTGAGGCTCACTCAAACCTTTTGCCTCGAAATCTGGATCACGGAAGACCTCAGACAAAACGACTGCTTCTTCTTGTTCTCCGCCAGCATCATCCTTCCTAATTTCATAATTTTGAGGTGCCATGGGAATTGGCAGATCAGCCGAAAAAGGATTGGGCCGAATGGCTAATCAAATGCAGAGATTTACTACCTGTGCTTCCCTTTTATTGACCAAGCTTGCTTCAAAAAGGGCGTAAAGCAGAAATAAACGTCAACATAGTTTGTTGGCTAACTACAGACCATGGGGTATAGCAAACTTCAGTGTGCGTTTCTCTCCAGTCAGCCTCTCTCGCAGTCTCACTGAGCAACAGTTACAATAAACAAGTGGGGTATCCTGGTAACCTATCCTTACACTGAAGTAATGGAACAACGTTGTAATTGTCCGGGCTCACAAAACCGATGGCCGAAAGTCATTTAACTATCTAGCACCTGGAGCTGAAGCATTTATTCCGGAACGCCTAAAAGCACTAAAATCAAAAAATATATTCAAAAAGAGACTAATACAAGCGATACAATCAATGCCTCGAAAGTTTCAGCACAGATTTAAAAAAAATGTTAAGCGTGATAGTTTAGTCAGTTTCCTCACTCTGTAGATATCTGTATTCATCTTGATTTTTTCATTATGTACATTTAATTCAACTGCATATAGCTTCATTTACAAATAAACATTACTTCTTATAATAATTCTCTCTAACTCTAACCTATCCTTACACTGAAGTAATGGAAGCTGTCTTCACAACTGGGGCTGCAAAAGTCATTATACCACAAACGTAGCAAGGCATTCTGCTCAGGAACAGAAAATTTGGAACAATAATAACACTGGACTACAAATTTTAGTTTTTTAATTGTATCTTGTGGGAAAAGTGCACTTCTTTGTTAATTTTTGGGCACTGAATCCAAAAATGACAATGAAATAAAAAAATTAGTTGCGGTTTAGAAAAAAAACTTTTTATTTTCAAGGATATATTAAAAAAAGTAGCAAGATTCATATACTTATAAGAATCACTATATGCGCTGTCTTTTTGCTGTTCTTTTATGGATCGTTTCTGGAGCATCTCTACCAAGAGTCCAACAGTAGTCTGCAAGCATGGAAGTATTCCACTTTCCCTGGTACCTTTTTTCCATTGTTGAAATATCCTGATGAAAACGTTCGCCGTGCTCATCACTTACAGCTCCGCAATTGTCAGGAAAAAAGTCCAGGTGTGAGTGTAGGAAATGTATCTTAAGAGACATATTACAGCCCATCTTTTGATACGATGACAGCATATTTTTGACAAGGGTTTTATAGTTGTCAGCTTTTCTATTTCCCAAGAAATTAGTGACCACCAGACGGAAATCATTTCAAGCAGTTTTTTCAATACCTGTTAAAGTGTTTTCAAACTGTGTATCTTTCAATATATTTCGAATCTGTGGCACAACAAAAATACCTTCTTTAACCTTTGCCTCATCTAGTCTTGGAAATTTCTGACGCAGGTATTGAAAAGCTGACCCATCTCTATCTAATGCCTTGACAAAGTTTTTCATTAGGCCCAACTTGATATGCAGTGGTGGTAATAAAATTTTTTTCGAATCTACCAATGGCATATGCTGTACATTTTTTTGAGCTGGCTCTAAGAATTGACGAACAGGCCAGTTTTGTCTGGTGTAAAGAAGTGCCTTTGCCCGACTGTCCCATTCACACAAAAAACAGCAAAACTTTGTGTAGCCTAGCTGCAGCCCAAGTAAAAGTGCAACAACTTTCAAATCGCCACAAATATGCCATTGGTGCTCATCGTATTTTATGCATGTCAATAGGTACTTCATATTGTCATATGATTCTTTCATGTGAACTGCATACCCTACAGGAAGAGATGGTAAAATATTTCCAATATGCAATAACACTGCCTTTAAACTCAATGTTGAACTGTCTATAAACAATCTCCATTCTTCTGGGTTATAGTTTATATTTAAAGCCATCGGTAAGCCGTTAATGTTACTGCGGAAAACCAAGTTATTCTCCATATTGAAAAATGGTTCTAAGTCTTTGTGGCGTTTACGAAAAACAGATACCGAAACATCGTCTTCTAACAAGTTCCACTGCTGCAGTCTTGATCCAAGTAACTCTGCCTTACATTTTGGAAGTTCTAAATCTCTTACAAGATCATTTAATTCTGACTGTGCTATTTTGTGCGGTTGGTGGCATGACGTGCTCGATATAAAATCAGGATCTCTTGACGTTGATGGCATATCTTCTTCCTGACGAATCACTCGATCGCCATGATCTGATTCGTTTTCTGATTCGCAAGTGTAGGATTCTGGGGGTTTTGGAATAGGATTTTCGTCACTGTGAGGCACAGGTCTCATCGCAGATGGTACGTTTGGGTAGTTAATAACCGATTTTTTTTTCTTGGACATACCTGTGGCTTGTCCAACACAAGGTACCATGCAAAAGTAACAATCATTAATATGATTTGTAGGCTCTCTCCAAACCATTGGGACAGCAAAGCGCATAGACCGTTTTTTGCCATTTAACCAGCTCCTTAGACTTGAAGCACAGGTATTACAGCAGATGTGGGGTGCCCACTGTTTGTCTTGATCACCTAGTTTACAACCGAGATAAAGCTGATATGTCTTTGTTATTAGTGGAGTAATAGACCGTCTTTGAGACGCAAAAGTCACATCACCACACACGTAACAAAACTGATCTGGATTGTTTACACACTTTCGAGACATCTTGCATGAACGCTGTCAGCCAACTGAGGAAAAAATGGCTAATATAAAACAATATAATGTACACGTATGTATAACGTAACACAATCATGCCGATTACGTCATCTTTCCTTGCCGAATATAAAAATGTAGCACGTTCATTCTTGTTAATTACAGTATATTAACACTGTCACAGCAGGGACACATGTAATTACCGTATCTCTAAAACTTGAACTAATATTGAAAACATAAGTTTCATTCCGGTTTTAGCACATTAAAAATAGTAATATTTTGTTGATTTTATTTAGGATATTTTTTGGCTGTTGATCAGTGTAATCAGTTTGGGTGACTGAACATTTGAAACTTGATTGAAAGAACCAAGATGTGACGATTATACAAGAACACGCACCACCATGTAAGAAATAATATGAAACCTTTTTTTGCTTACCAGAAGAAGGATTCAGCGCGTTCACTACAAAATATTGTTAACATAAAAGCACTGAATAATTTAGAAAGCATTTGAAGACCGTCCATCCACAACTGCCACAAGGCTGAACTGACTGAATATCGAGGTAGGCCGTTTTCGGTATTACTACTGGTTTACCTGGCTTCTATGATGTTATGGAATATAAGAAGGACTATCTACTTCAGAGCAATTAAAGGTTTATTTGGCATATATTGCTCTGGATTTCCTGTTTTGCCAGAGTGAATACGATGAATCGCGTGTTGTACGGTGGAAGCGCACGATCTGGATTTGAGGAACGGTTTCGAGTCGGTTATCGAAGTTCCGCATTGTTCGCTACGGAACGTCAACTGGAATTGCAACGACTTCAGTTGTGATTGAGCCCCTCTGAAAAAAATGGTAAGGCGAGCGAATCACAGAGAAAACGGAGCTTAAAGTCTACATAGATAGATTGTGAGTTCACAGGGTTTGCCGCTATAGAGAGATTGTTGGTCAATTCTTGCAACGATAGAAACAAAATAAAAATGAAATCGAACGAGCAAACGGCTTTCGCCGCGAAAAGCAAAAACAAAGTGAGATAGCAACAACAACAACAAACCACAAAAGTTATGATCTTTAAAGTCATCCCCTTATGCTTATGAGTGTGACTGTGCCAAGTTGTATACAAACGGTCATGAGAAATACATATTTCACCTCTTGCGCTTATGTCTATCTTTATGACTATGACTATTGAAATGTTGTATAAACCTGGCATAAATCTCCATCAGCACTCTTAACTCTAAAATTTGTTTGAAACCCTATAACACTCTATTCATTAGAGAATAACACATAGGGATGCTTGCCAATTTCGGGAATATTCTACAGTGTGACAGACAAAAGTATTTTTTGAGACAAAAGTTTTCCTTAAATTGCATTTAAATCGTACCCAAGTCGCAACATATTTCTAACCAGTTGTGCTATAGCATGCAACTGAAGCGGAAACATCCATTACATATTCCTCGTATGTTCTCATATTTTTACTCTGTAACAATACTGAATTTAGAATAACCAACAAGTAGTCTCAATTCGCAAATAGTTTATTGGACTTTCTTTATTGTTCCAGGTAGTCCAGATAGCAATGGACGCTGAAGAAGAAGAAAACGAAGAAAACAAATATGACTGAATCACCCACATAGAACAAGCTCACTCTTTACCATGCCCGGTGCAGCGCTGTTTCTACTCCCCTCCATTGTCTGGTGGTTGGCGCAAAGTGCTTTAGCTCTATGTCCGCCTCAATGCGAATGCAAATGGAAGAGCGGGAAGGAATCTGTGATATGCCTCAACGCCAACCTCTCCGTGATTCCTCTGCAGTTGGACGCAGGTACTCAAGTGCTAGACCTCACCGGAAATGGACTCGTGTCATTGAGGCACGAAGAGTTCAGCAAGGCGGGCTTGGTCAACTTGCAGAAGGTCTATCTGGCTAAGTGTAGACTAAAGAACATCGAGAGGTGAGTTTCTGAGTTCTATAAGTTAGGTAACTAGGAGATTTGAAGAGTTTCTGGACTCTATATGATAAAATATTATTTAACTATATAACCTCACTTCAGCTCAGTATATCCTTTGGACAATTCTAACAACTACTAGTTATTTTCACATATACAGGGTTATCCAAATTAAGTGTCCACCATTAGTAACTTTGTTATTAGTGAAAATACAAAGTTGTTTGAACTAGCAAACTAGTAGCATTTTTAACGCTGGTAAAAATGAGAAATAAAAAAAAACAATTGAGAGTCGTTATTTTGATTTTTTTCAGTAAAATAACATTTTTTTAAATGGAAACCCCTGTATATTATATTTTTTTCTGTTAAAGCATCAAATTTTAAACAAAAAAGCTTACAATAACTTTATTCCTAGGTTACAAATTGTTGAAGTTATGGCCTCCAATCTGAAACAATTAAATTGTATCGACAAACTTTATTTTCAACATCAACTTATAATCTTACAAAATACAATAACAATTTTTTTTAAAGAAGATGCTCGAAAACACCACCTTGTTCTTCAATACATTTTTGGGCACGTTTTTCAACTGCTCGAACTGTCTTAAGTATGGTCCTACCATCTATCTGGGTTATCTTTTCCCTAACTGCAGTCTTTAACGCGTCAAGGTTATCGTACCTTCGCTTGTAAATTTGGTTCTTTAAGTAACCCCACAAGAAGTAATCAAGTGGGTTTAGATCTGGTGATCTGGGAGGCCACTGTATTGGGCCATTTGTTCCTATCCACTGATCATTAAAAGTAGTACTTAGAAAATGATAAGTACCTCTGGAGTTGTGGGCAGGTGCGCCATCTTGCTGAAAATGCAGATGATGTCTACTTATAAGATCCAATTCGTCTAAGAAATTAGTCAGAATTTCTGACATAAATTCCACATATCTTTCACCAGTTAGGGTTCCCTCATAAAAGAACGGGCCAACAATTTTTGAACCAATTATACCGCACCAAACGTTGAAACTGAAACGGACTTGTGGGCCTCTTGGATGTACTAACAAAAGATTTTCTCTTGACCAATAATGGTGGTTTTTTCTATTAAACATTCCAGAATTTGAAAAATTTGATTCATCTGTCCATAAAAGGTAACGAAAGTTATTTACATTTTGGCGACAGAAGCTAAGATACCAATGGCAAAAAACAAGTCTTCTCTCTGGATCCCCTGCCAAAAGCGTTTGAACTGGTCGGTACTTATACGGAATAAATTTGTATTTTTTTTAAATCCTTTGAACAGTACCATAACTGAAATTAGAGTCCTTGAGAATATCTGCTATTGAAGTCTCACGATAAGCTTCAAAATATCCAATAACTGCAATTTCCGTGGCCTCGCTTATTATGAATTCTTTTTTTGCCCTTGTTTTAGCAAAAACATTTTCGTTGCCCCTAAATTTTCGATAAAGTCTCAGAAAATATCGTTCATACGGTTGAATGCGAGCGGGATATAATTCACTGTAGTATTCTCTTGCTCTCAAGGAGGATTTTCTGCACACTAAATAGCATTCTAACATATCACACCTTTCTTCATGGGAGAACATTTTTCTTTAAATTAATGACACAATAAAGCTTATAAACAAGTATTTACACTAATGTTTGACATTATTTGATTTTATCATTGTTTTCCAAAGCCTTCTAGTTGCGAGTATGTCCAGTTTAACAATTTGTCGCTTATCTTAATGCTGTCAAATCGCGAACGCCATGCTGTTTTCATAGCCGTCTTAATATTATAATACTGCAAATAATTAAAAATACTTATCGTTATTTTGACTTTATTTTTGACTTTAGCGGAAAAGTCATTATGAACTTTTTTGTTTAAAATTTGATGCTTTAACAGAAAAAAATATAATATACATGGGTTTCCATTTAAAAAATTGTTATTTTACTGAAAAAAATCAAAATAACGACTCTCAACTGTTTTTTTTTATTTCTCATTTTTACCAGCGTTAAAAATGCTACTAGTTTGCTAATTTAAACAACTTTGTATTTTTACTAATAACAAAGTTACCAATGGTGGACACTTAATTTGGATAACCCTGTATAACCTCCCTTCAGCTCAGTATATCCTTTGGACAATTCTAACAACTACTACTTATTTTCACATCTATACCGAAATACGCCTTCTGGTTCCTGAACACGAAGCCTGCCATTATGGCAGTCCCCTTCATATACTATACAGGGTGTCCGCAAAGTTGTGGTTTTTCTTTTCAGAAACAACTACCCTTGAAATAACAAAGGTAATGTGTAGTGAAACGAGGACGACCAAGTAAAAAAAATAAAGGAAAAAGTACTCACTCTCCAGTTGACGAGAAGGGCTAAGTACGTCTCTGCCCGAAATCATACCGGTCAGAAAATGAAATCAGCTGAAGCGCTACCGAGCAGACGCAGAAACCACATTGATTGTCTTACACTTAATGGCACATCTTCTAACAAGGAAGGCAAAATGTTGCGTAATTGCGTGCTGATTTTCTACTGACCAAACATGAGTGTTGCGAAAGTTATTCACCCCATTACGCGTGAACGTAGTTTCGTGTGCCACCAATATGCACTTCAAAAAGTCCGGATTATTGTCATGTTGATGCAACAACCACTAACAAAATCGTCGTCAGGTTGAAAGGCTTGTACATGTTGGACGTGAAACGGATACAGCCCCTCCTCACACAGGGTTTGCCACACTTTAGTTTTTGATACTTGCACTTCTCTAGCCACGTCTCTAGAGATTCTCGTCTACGCGATTACCTCTACATGCGTGACCATAACCATCGGTTGAAGGTTGCATACTGACCTGACACACTGACCCCGACCCAGTTCTGCCGTCCGGTTGAGACCTTGTACCAATCTGTGATGTCCCGGGTCGCGGCTACAGGACGGTATTCAGATATTTTTGATGTTGCAGAGCCCTTTATCTCGGTTCCCTTAAGACATTGGTGTATATGGTACTAAGAAAAATTGCTTATGTTTTCAAGATCTACACGTCGTGTAAAGGAAAACCCCAACTTTGCGGACACCCTGTATACTGTCTGACACAGCTCTCGAGATCCCTTGTATCCACGTGATAGCTAATCGTCCTCGTTTCCTTTTTTCCCTTGGAGTCCATTCTTATACCTTTCTTGGTAGTCTTACCCTTTCCACAGTGTTTAAAGGACCATACCATTCAGGTTGTTTTTTCTTGTCATCTATAATTTTGTGTGTTATTCCAATTTGATCTTTGATATCCTCATTCCGTATGTGCTTTTCTTATGTTTTTCTTCCATAATACTGATTTTAATGCTGCTGTCACTTTTTTCCTTCCAACTATTTTATCCTTAATACTTTCTTCACTTCTACATGATGTTAAAGTCACTCCCATACGCACAGACTCATTACAGCTATTAATTGTTGCACTAGGATATCGAGATCCTCAGCCCTCTCATCTCCGATACACAGGTATTGCTTTTTCGTCGTACTTACTTCTTAACCCCATTGTCGATATTCGTCATTCAGCTTTCTAAGCATTATATCTCAGGTCTTTCTTATCTTGTGCCACAACTACAACTGCTCCGTCTTCGGCGTAGTGCAAAGTGTAAAGCGTTGTATACCCTACAGGTATTACCATTCCGCATTATTTTCCATCCGTGTAGCGCTCCGTCTACGTAGATATTAAACAGTATCGGCGACCTTGTCTCAAACCATAAGTTACTTGTTACTGGTATTTGTTTTCCAGCACTTTCCATAGTTCACTCACAGGCACGGTAGTATGTGCTTCAGTCATATCAACCATCAGAAGATGAACTTCATGAGCTCTTAATATTCGTCTTGCTATGTGATAAGCTGAAAATACTATCTATCGTCGGCCTTCTGACCCGGTAACCGTTTTGCTCGTCGGACTGATAAGGGTGTTCTTCGTTATTGATTAACTCTTTTATTATTGTCGACTCATTGTGCTGGTTTTGCGGTAGTCGTTGCATTCGTCTTTGCTTCCTTTTTTTATTTATAGATGTTATCTACCCCTCATGCCAGCGATACTGGCTCACCATCTAAAAATGCCTGTGCCACTTTCTATATGATTAATATCTTTTCTTGAGAGTTTTTCTAAAAGCCTTCTAAATACACGTCTGCAGCTGTAATGATTTCTCCAGCTGCATTTACTAAACGAATCATGGAAACAAATGAAAATCGGTGAATCTGAGTGGTTATCCTAGCAATTCGGAATTTAATTGACTGATGTATGCTATTGCTAGAGCACTTCTGTGGGTAGGTAGGTGCGTTATTCGATAGAGGGGCTTTTTCTTCTATGAGCCTGACCTTTTTTCCTACATTTTATATTGCTGATATAGTTTTACCAGTCTGCAGGTAACCTATCAGTAATATCCTTTCTGCATCTGAAAAAAAAATGATGTTATAGACGATTTGGGCCGCCAAAGCAGAACTACCGGGTTCAATGTACCCTGCAGCTGGATATCGTAATTTGAGGCTATACTGGTAAATCTATGGCTATCCATAATTCTGAATTTAAGTATAAAATCACTTTCGACCGTTGAAAGTCCATCCAGATGTTGTTCTACTCTATTTTTTTGATATAAAGCAATTTCGGCAACCATTCTACCAATTGGTTATTAGACCATAAATCAGTTTTCAAAATATGAAGCACTATACTACAACTATTTAAAACTGTAATGACTCATACGCGTGATCAACACGTGATCAGAGCTCGATCCCGGCTTCCTTCCAGTACAGCCGTATAGCGTACGACATAATATGTCGTTTCTGTGGCTTTGCTGTGGTCAACAGCACAGACAGAGATGTACATAATGGCTGATTGATCTCCACCGGTAGAACCAATGAAATCAAAGACGCGCCTCGACCGGTAGACTCATAGGCGTCGGCAACGCGGAACGTGTTTCGTTGAGCGATAGCATATTGTGTGTTTTTATAAGAATTGTTGTGTGATTGTTATTTTTGTGGTTTCTGTGGTTACTGTTTTGGT